TCGCTATACATTTCACGGCATCTAGCCAGAATTACCACGGTGATAATCATACGATTGTGGTCGGTATACATGTTCCAGCATCTAGGCAGATTGACCACGGTCATAACCATACGACCGTAGTCGGTATACATTCCTCTGCATCTAGCCAGATTGACCACAGTCATAATCATATGACCGTGGTCGGTATACATTCCACGGCATCTAGCCAGATTGACCAAGATCATAATCATACGACCGTGGTCGGTATACATGTTCCAGCATCTAGGCAGATTGACCACGGTCATAACCATACGACCGTAGTCGGTATACATTCTTCTGCATCTAGCCAGATTGACCACAGTCATAATCATATGACCGTGGTCGGTATACATTCCACGGCATCTAACCAGATTGACCAAGATCATAATCATACGACCGTGGTCGGTATACATTCCATCTAGCAAGACTGACACGGTCATAATCATATTTATATGGGTGGTTTATTCAGTACTACAATGAAATGTAAAGCGATATAATTTAAAATAAATGGTACACAGAAAAATAATAAGCACACGGGATTCCAAAGAATGGATTTTTTTATTTATTTCATGCATACTCACAGTACGGTACAAACAATTTGAAACTTACAAAGAAACCTCGGTGAAATACAAGTATCAAGAAATTCGCATGAACACCAAAAACAAGCTGCTTATTTTTTCGGCAATTAGTGTATGAGGTGTTGCTGTAAAACAATTTAAGTAGGCCACAGTGTAGGCGACTTTTCGTTATGTATTACTGAATCATAATATGACCACAAGACCTGATTATAGATTAGAATGAATGGAACAAGGCAAGATCCAGCTGATTGGTGCCGAAGGACATAGTTCGAAATTATACATGTTAGTAATAGCTTTCAATATATTTGACATTGACTGTCATCAAAAATACGGCCAGTGGTCGTAAAATAAGCCAAAAGAGAAATAAGCAGCATGCCGCTTTGTTTTTTGCGATACAAATTATACAATATATAAACAATTGATAAAATGTAAATAACACAGACAAAAATTCTAGAGATATTTAAAATGCTTTAAACTAAAGGAAATACTCACAATATTTTTTTTATTCTATCATGAAAGGAACAAATATCATAAAAAACACCCACAAGTATTGTTTAATGAATTATGAAAGTATGTTCGGTTGCGTTTTTTTAAGTTATTTAAAATTTTTAAAACTAGGAAATCAGGAATATGATGTTACATTTCATAAATCTGTCATTTCGTAGTAAACAGCCAATTACACGTACTTTCTGAGTCAATATATGAGCAATGGACCTCGCAGCTGTTAATGCATATACAATTAAAGTTAAAAAACATTTATAATCTAGTTTAGCTGAACTCAACTAATAGAACTCCATACAAACTTTCGACATGA